GGCCCCGCCGGCCCCGCCCGGCCGCCTCGCGGTCTTACCATAGGCTCTGGCCCTCTTCCTCCTCGCTGGTCAGGTCGCCGGCAGCCGCCACGGCGGGCCCGTTGGGGCCCAGCAGCAGCTTCTTCTCCACCCCCACCGGCGCCATCTTGCCAACTGCAGCCACAAAGAGGGCCCTCCCCCGGGCCCGCCGAGGACCCGCGAGGACCCTGGCCGGGCCGCCCACTCTCCGCCGCCCTCGCGCCGCCCCTCAAGCCGCCCACCCCGCAGTGTCCGCGCCGCCCGCCGCGCTTCGCTGGGCCCACGAAGGTCCGCCAGCTCCCACAGGGTCGTGAGGCCGCTGCGGCGGCGGAAGGTGGGTGGCGGTCAGGCAACAGCCGGGGCAGCCATGCGCAGAGAGGCGACGGCGGCGGGACCTGGAGCCGCCGGGACGGAGGGCGCGCGGGCGGCCTCTGCCGGCCAAGGGGAGTAGTGGCACTAGCCTCGGGTCCTCGCCGAGCTATCCGCTAGCGATGCGCCGTCGAGGGCCCAGGCTAAGGAGGAAAGCTCAGGCTTTGGAGTGAGACTAATACACGATAGCGCCATTTATCTGGCGCTGATCTGTGCCAGTCACACATTATCTAATTGAATCGTATCTAACCCTTTTACAGACTAGAAACCTGAAGCTCAGAAAACTTAAGAAACCTGGCCAAGGATCCCAATGCTAAAAGGTAGCATCCCAGTACTTCAATCCTATTCACTGAACTTAAGCTATCATGAATTTTGCCTAATTCTTAGCCCCGCAATGAAAGACCCATCTTAAACTAGACCCCCAAGTCCTCATAAATATTCCGCTTTTCACCTCACTCCCTATTGAGTGCAAGGTAGTAATCTTTACTGCAGCAAACAATACAATTGTGTTTATTAACTTTTTTTTTTTTTAAGCTTATTTGAGAGAGAGGGCACGCGAGCACGCTAGCAGGGGAGGGGCAGAGATAGAGAATCCCAGGCAGGGTCCAAGCTTTCAGTGCAGAGCTCCACACGGGGCTGGATCTCCCAATCTGTGAGATCATGACCTGAGCTGAAATCAAGAGTCAGATGCTTAACCAACTGAGCCACCAAGGTTTTTCAAAATGATATTTCCAGGGAGACAGCATTTCACAACAGAAATAGGCAGCTTCGATTTCCTTTCTTGGGGGTGGGGGTAGTGACAAGAAAGATATGTGAAAGGATAAAAGGTCAGGGAGACAAGGGGAAGGAAAAGGGTAATGGAAGGGAAAAAAATACACTTCACTCATGGAGCTTAACTTTAGTGGCCTTTGAGGGTTCTTGCTATCCTCTGTGGAAAACGCTCACTTTACAAGGCATTTCTAAATATCACAAGGAAGTGGGATATGGCAGAAAAGCAACCACCTACGTGAGTTTCAAAGGAGTAGAATTCTGATCCTGGCTCTGCCAAAATGTTGGCAGCATGAGTTACAGGATCCAACAAATGGGCATAGCATCAGCCAACCTGAATGTAAGGTTCAAACAAGGCAGTGAGAGTGAAAATCCATGAAGAGTTACACCCTTAGAAGTCTGGAAAGTATTGTAAGTCATAAAAAGGCAGTGTCTGGATTTCCGTAGGACAGAAGATGGAGTTTAAAACTACAGGCCAGTGAACTTCATCAGCCCTAGCTGAAATTTTCTAAATGTGACTAGATAGAAAAGGAAAAGATAGGACAAGATTCACAGTCTCTCTCTCTCTCTCTCTCTCTTTTTTTTTTTTTTTTTTTTGCAGGAATGCCAGGCAAGAGGATGCTAGACATAGCAAATGCAGATTTCAACGGGGCATTTGACAATTCAAAGTGAAATGTAGCCTGGATGATAGCATTGCAGCAGGTCAAAGACCAGGCCCAAAGGGAACCGATGAACAGGGATAACCAGAGGCTGCTAGGAGCCTGCCCAGCCTCTCACCCTGGCCCAGCACCTCAAGTTACCCTCAGTGACTTGGATGAGAATGCAGCATCACACTCAAAGCTGTGGATGATCTGAAGTAGGAAGAGATGCCTAATATACTAGATGACAAACTGGGTACAGACATACTCTGGCAATAAAGCCACATTTCTTTCTGGACACATTTTTTTTTTAATGTTTATTTTTGAGACAGAGAGAAAGACAGAGTGTGAACGGGGGAGGGGCAAAGAGAGAGGGAGACACAGAATCTGAAGCAGGCTAGAGGCTCTGAGCTGGCAGCACAGAGCCTGACGTGGGGCTCGAACTCCCTAGCTGTGAGATCATGATTGGAGCTGAAGTCGGACACTCAACTGACTGAACCACCCACGCACTCCCTGGACACATTTTATCAAGACAAGTAAGTGTCCAATGGTCAGTGACTAAGCCCATAAGGAGACATGACACTGTTCTGCTGAAGCATGAAGTAACTGGGCTTATCAGCATGAAGGATAGAGAATGTAGAGGGAAAAGGAGAAAGTGATGGATAGCTATCTTTTCCTTTCTCAAGGATTGGCATGTAGAAAAGAAATTCAACTTTTGTGGTTCTACAGAAGGTGCTTGAGGAGGGCACATTTCATTTTAATCTAAGTTAGAACTGACCACCAATTATCACCTTGTGAAGTAGTAAATTCCAGGTTTCTGAGGATTTATGCAAAATTAAAGACAGCCACAAATGTTGAGATTGTTGTACAGCAGTTCATGCCTCTGCCAGGGAACTATAACTGAGGTCAATTCCAACTCCAAAGGTCTGTCATTATTAAAATCATTTTTTATTCCCTGTTGATTTTGTCATGTCTAAACTCCTAAAGCTATACAGTTCTCTAATATGTCATCGTTCTTCCACTTTCCTTTTGATGTGTCTTCATCTATTTTATTACCAAATATTTCCATCTGAGGGGAAAAAAAAGCAGCTCATGTTAACCAAGTTAGTGAAGAGTTAGGATAAAATTTCAAGGTTTCAGAAGGCAATGTAGCATTGGTTAATTTTTTTAAATGTTTATTTATTTTGAGAGAGAGACAAAGCATGAGTGGGGGAGGAGCAGAGAGAGGGAGAGAGAATCTCAAGGAGGCCATGCACTGTCAGCACAGAGCCTGACTTGGCTCGATCTCATGAACTGAGTGATCATGACCTGAGCCAAAATCAAGAGTCCAACACCTAATGGACTGAGCCACCCAGGTGCCCCAGTATTGGTTATTTTAAATATAGTCTCAGTAACTGACACAAATCAGTGTCTAACCGACAGTATATCATATTCTTGGGGATGCGTGAGTTAAGCAGTGTTTGATTTTTCTGTTAATTTGCGATCAATAAAAGAATTATTACCTGAGACCCACTTAAAGTAGAAAAACATGTTTAAATCCTTTCTGAACATCCGTAAGAAACAACTCCTGATTAAGCCAATAAGACTGACAAAACAATGTTTTCCCCTTTGACCTAAAACAACTTTCCTAAGTCTTGAGAAGTGCAAATCAAAAAGCCTATTTAAATGGACAAGATTCATTCACACTTGAGATGCTATAAGGAATTTTCCTAACTTTAATTTTTTTTAATCTTTATTTATTTTTGAGAGAGAGAGAGAGAGCGAGCAAGCAGGGGAGGGGCAGAGAGAGGGAGGCACAGAATCCCAAGCAGGCTCCAAGCTGTCAGCTGGGAGCCAGATGCGGGGCTGGAACTCACGAACTGTGAGATCATGACCTGAACTGAAGTCGGACGCTTAACTGACTGAGCCACCCAGGCACCCCTTTGTAATTTTAAATTATTCTTTTATTCAGGGGCGCCTGGGTGGCTCAGTCGGTTAAGCGGCCGACTTCGGCTCAGGTCATGATCTCGTGGTCCGTAGTTTCGAGCCCCAGGTCGGGCTCTGTGCTGACAGCTCAGAGCCTGGAGCCTGCTTCGGATTCTGTGTCTCCCTCTCTCTGACCCTCCCCTGTTCATGCTCTGTCTCTGTCTCAAAAATAAATAAACATTAAAAAAGTAAAAAAAATCATTCTTTTATTTAAAGGAAATTTTGAATTTAAAGAAAATTTTCTGCTTATTGGCTCTCTGCAATTTTCATTATGGATCAGAAAATTAGAAATTTAGTAAACATTCTGGGGCACCTAGGTGGCTCAGTCGTTTGAGTGTCCGACTTCGGCTCAGGTCATGATCTCGTGATTTGTGAGTTTGAGCCCCACATTGGGCTCACTGCTGTCAGTGTAGAGCCCACCTCAGATCCTCTGTCCCTCTTTCTCTGCCCCTCCTTGCTTTGTGCTCTCTCAAAAATAAATAAAACATTAAAAAATAAATTTAATAAAAATTCTTAATTTATCCAAGTAGATGTAGCCATGATGTGAAAAGGTCAAAGAATACAAACTTTTCTGGAAATACCTTTCGGGACTGAAGAAATCTATTACAATGACACAAAGCAGTGAACCAATGGGTATATAAGCACAGGTGAGCTTTAAGGCTCTGATACCTGATCCCTTTGCCACAGCAACAGCATATTAAGTTTAATAAAGGCTGCAACAGCATCCTTTGGGGATCAGGATAGGAATATAAAAAGAGTAAGAAAAATAGACAACTGAGGTCAAATAGCTTGGTTTTCCACTAGAAGAAAACTAACTTAAACGATAAAAATTTGTTCTAAGCTTTTAAAAAGCAAAGGCAAATAAACATACACCAAAAAAGTGAACCTGACCATAGAATTTGGGGATATTCAAAGGAACTGCACAATTAGCCTCTAGAAGAGGAAACATTTTAGTTTAGCTAACAAAATGTCAAACATTGATTTAATATGTGGGAACTTGATTTGAACAGCTTGGGAAACTATTCTAAGTTCTGGGGAGGAACTTACACTGGGTGAGAATATATACTAAAATCCAAATGTCTCACATGGTATCCATTACAATATAATGTCAAATAATGCTTAAAGGCTGATATTTTTTTCTCTGACCTGTGTTCTTTGAGCTTAAGGAAAAATAAAAGCATATTCCTAAACAAATGTTTGACCTTATAAAGGAATTTTGCTTACTAATCTACACATTAAAAAGTGTATTTGTTTTATAAATTACTTTAATAATTCAAAGAGATACAGAATCACAAGGAGTATTTAATTAAAACAGTATTGTTTTCACATTCTCTGTTTCATGAGAGTTTAGAAGATTTTAAATTGTGTTTCAAGCCATTGTATTCTATTAGTTAAACCTAAAAACTGACAAGTATTCTGATCAAGGAGCTTCATGCTTGGAGCCTTTGGTCAGCTTGTGGTATTTGTGAGCAAGATCCACAGCCTTCCGTCCTTGCTGAAAGGGGAAAGACCACAAAATTAAATTCCAGTGATTTCCCATTTTCTTAACTCCATTGAAAAGGTAATTTACTTCTTCTTTGGTAAAATTTTTACGAATTCTTCTTTTTTCTGTAATTAATGAGAATCGTAGAATATATAAGTACTTGCTGAGAAAAGGGATCTTCTTAACTTACTCTAAGGATAAGTTCTTAACTTACTCTAAGGATATGAACTATGTAGTGAGAAAGCTTCATGCCTGCATTACTCATCATATAGAAATTCATTTCAATTTTAAAAATTGAGTGCCTACTATTAAGCTAGGTCTTATCACTGTGAATTCTTCAATAATTTTAACAATTCTATTGCAATACATGGAACATCTTTCAATCAAGAAGCACAAGAATTTATAAACATTTGATTTTTAATTCTCTCAACATTCCTGTGAGGACAATTAACAGACAGCTTACCTATCTTACAGATACAGTCTTCCCAAAGGGCTCCAAAACTTCATAGAATAAAAAAGAATATCGACACTTGTTACTTTAATTATCAGCCTTGATAAATATTTTTTTTAAAAAAGGGTCTTTTGAAACTCACTTTAAAAAACATTCACTACCTGTATGGGTGCTCAGCTTGATTAAAACTCAAAAAATAGGCTGCACAAGGGAGAAGGAAGTTTTTAACTATCTGGTTATTAGGGATACTTTCTACAACAGAAAGAATATGCAGTTGGTATCTGTGTACATAAATATCTTCTGGTGATGATTACTAGGAAATAGTTTTCTTGTAAGGTTTTTTGTTCATTGCTAACTCATGTTATCATTGTAGATAGATGTTGATGGAGGAGTTTTCTCTACTTCCACTTAAGGCTGCTATTTACTTTAGAAGGAATTGTAACAGTGGTGCTGGGACAACTTTAGAAAATCTTGCCCTTGCAGGTCAAGACTGAGCCATTTGTCTACTTCTCCTAGGATAGGAGGCATGGTTCAGATCTTTTAAAACAGAAATGAAAATCTTACCAGCAGAAGGCTGAGAAATCACTGAAAATAATGTCTGATGATTACTTAATGGTATTACTTAGAATGCAAGGTCCAGGAAGATAAGAATTATTGTCTGTTTTGCTCACCGTTATATCTCTAGTGCCTAAAATAATATCTAATTATTGGTAAAAAGTGTTTCAAACTTTTAGCTCTACTAGAGCTTACTTTTAGCTCTACTAGAAAGCTGTCATCTAAGAAATAGAGGATTTCAATTTCACTTGCTTAATGATTTGAACTCATAATCAGGAGTGGACGGGTTATTATAACGTTCAGGATACTGGGGTCCAGGAATTGTTCATGTAAAGCCAATTCTCACTTTTCCAATACAGCTGCCATCTCACTGACTCCTACATCTGTGCCCAATTCCTCAAAGGTTATTGCAGCAGAGTACTGGGCAGCCTAGAAGGAGGAAGCAGCTCTACCCCACAGGGCTCCCCTTTGTGACTTCTTTAGTGACTATCTTTTTATTTTTAATGCTTGGTTACTTTTGAGAGAGAGAGAGAGAGAGAGAGAGAGAGACCATGAGCAGGGGAGGGGAAGAGAGACGGGGACAGAGGATCCGAAGCAGGCTCTACACTGACAGCCAGCAGGAGAGGGAGTGGGGGGAGGGGGCGTAGCTTGAATTCATGAGCCACGAGATCATGGCCCCGGAGCCTAAGTCAGATGCTCAACCAACACAGCCACTCAGGAACCCCTTTAGTGCTAGTCTTAACATTGATCAGGCTTTAGGAAAGGGTAAGGGAAAGTAGGCAAGAAGGTTCAATTCTAGGGACTCTTATTTTTCAAAATCTCTCAAGACACCAGTCTATCCTAAAAGAGAGCCAAGTCTCTTTAAATGCTTAGATGCTGCAATGGTCTCTTCTCAAAAGAATGGTTTCAAATTTGAATGCAACCTACAACCAAATGAATGCTCATAAATGTGTCTTGAAACGAAAGGGAAATCAAGGAGGAAAAATGGCAATGTACCAAACATTCTTAGCCTACTTATGAAAGAGAAGTTCAATCTAATCAGTATCTCAAGATGCCTTTCTAAATTCTAAAAAAGCAGACCAAATTATTAGCCATTTGGCGTTAGCTAAAGCAATTCTAATCTACAAAAAAGATGTATGTACTTATGAGCTGAATGTCACTTAATAGTATTTAGGATCCCTCTGTATAATCAATGTACAACCACAATTATGTGCTTTTCATGAGGCTTTACAAATGATTTTACTATGTAAAATGATTATAGGATATGTAAAAAAAATTTTTTTTAACATTTACTTATTTTTGAGAGAGACAGACATAGTGTGAGCAGGGGAGGGGCAGAGAGAGAGGGAGACACAGAATCCGAAGCAGGCTCCAGGCTCCGAGCTGTCAGCACAGAGAATGATACAGGGCTCGAACCCACGAACTGCAAAATCATGACCTGAGCCGAAATTGGATGCCCAACTGACGGAGCCTCCCAGGTGCCCCAATTATAGAATATTTTAAATTGTTACATATTTGTTTTTAAGTCATGTTGCTGAAAAAAATCCATTATTCATTTGATGCCAACTCCTTGTCAAAAGCAAGTTTTCCAAGTGCAACATGTTTCTATGGAAAAACAACCATTTTCTAACAGTTTCTACGGAAAATATTACTTCAAAAAGTGGGCTGCCCTAGAGGAGTACTGTAGTTAATTTTAATTTGCATGCAGAATTTTTAATTAATTTTTTAATGTTTATTTTTGAGAGAGAGACAGAGTGTGAGTGGGGGAAGGGCAGAGAGAGAGAGGGAGACAGAATCTGAAGCAGGCTCCAGGCTCTGAGCTGTCAGCACAGAGCCCGACGAGGACCTCAAACTCACAAACTGTGAGATCATGACCCGAGCCAAAGTTGGATGCTTAACCGACTGAGCCACCCAGGCACCCCTGAACGCAGAACTTTTAACATGGAAAAAGACCCAGATATAAAAAATAAATTTCAGGGGTGCCTGGCTGGTTCAGTCAGTAAGAGTGTGTAACTCTTGATCTCAGGGTTGTGAGTTCAAGCCCCATGTTGGGTAGAGAGATTATAAACAAACTTAAAAAAAACCACAATATTAAAAATAAATTTGAAATTTCTTTTAAGGCTTTAGCAGTGAAAATGGCCAAATAAAAGCATATGGTAAAATGTTTCCATATGAATGTCTAAATATCTTTGCAATAAATAACAGAATAATTCAATAAATGTTACTAAATTCCAGGTTACTTTGACAAGTAAAGTACTTAACTGCTTATTCTTACTCTGCAGGTATTAATTTCATATGAAGAGAAGAAAATGGTAATGTTCACTAAGTCTCTGTAATAAACTTGGAATGGTGATAAACCTGAAATTTTAATCCTGTAGTTAAGTAAAAATTCCCATAAATTAACTCATCATTTAAGAAGCATTTTGGTTTTTTTAAGTTTAGTTTTTATTTTTACTATTATTTTTTAATATCCATTTATTTTTGAGACAGAGAGAGAGAGAGAGAGAGAGAGAGAGAGAGAGAGAGCACGAGTGGAAGAGGAGCAGACAGAGAGGGAGACACAGGATCCAGAATCTGAAGCAGGCTCCAGGCTCTGAGCTGTCAGCACAGAGCCCGATGCAGGACTCGAGCCTACAAACCGTGAGATCATGACCTGAGCCGAAGTCAGATGCTTAACTGACTCAGGCACCCTTGTTTATTTTTAGAGAGAAAGAGAACGTGAGTGGAAGCGGGGCAGAGAGAGTGGGAGAGACAGAATCCCAAGCAGGCTCCACACTCTCAGCGCAGAACCAGATATGAGGCTCGATCCCATGAACCATGAGATCATGACCTGAGCTGAAATCAAGAGTGAGATGCTCAACCGGCTGAGCCACCCACGTACCCCAAGAAGTATTTTGATTTTTAAGCAGGGCTTTAAAGGTTTATACTATTTGTCTCTTAAATTTTGATTGTTTGAAGTGCTGTAGTTATGAACCAAAATCTTTTGCAAAATCTCTCTGAAGCACTTATACATAGGAGAATAATTTTGTTCTTAAAATAGAAATGTGATCAGGAGGATAGGACAGGGACTTCTGGAGAAAGACAGGCTTGCATTTGAATGTAAGCTCTGCCATTTGCCAACTCATTATGCCTTAAAGTGGAAATAAAATACTACACACCTTATAATGTTATTATAAGAATCAAAGGAAATATCCATAAAATACCTAACACCTAGTAAGTGCTTAATAAATGTTAGTGTCCTCCTGCTTCTTCCCCAGTGGGCAAGCAATGAGTGAGAAAGCAACATGAGGAAGGGAAGTGGGAAGCCCCTTTTCTTAGGAACTATGACCCTCATCAGACCCAACGGTTATCATTTAAGAACCATCAATGGGACTGAGAAACCATCATTTAGCTGTGCTCTTTGTCTCAGAACTATATGAAATTTAGGTTTATTTAATAATTAAATATATTAACTTATTCCTCCAGAGGTAGTAGATTCACTACTGAGTTGTCGTCTCCTACGTGGGGTCAGCAGAATTTCTGAAAAATACAGAAAACATTTAGTGTACTTAGAGTATCAATCTGCACATCAATTCCATTAGTATGAAAGTTCCTTTTCCCCCCTTCTAATGGGAATCCTTAGATGGATTAGGAAGAATTTTTAAATGACCAGAGACTAAATCTTTTCCCTGGGTACATCTTAAAACACTGGTTGCTCTAAGATATTTTCTTTTCAACATGATTTTACCCGCTAACTTTTTAATATACTTCATGTTCTAGATTACAGTTCAAAAGGTAGAGTCATAATAACAGTTTCAAAGCTGCTGAATTAATTACTTTTGTTACAGATAAGTGATTTCCTTAGTTCACTTTTATATCTGTCTTCAGCTTCCACAATGACTTTGTGACGATCACATTGGTATGGGCAAGAGTGCAAGAGCTTGCTAAAATTTCGGCTATTCAGGGATTTTCCTACTGCTATGCAACCTAAAAGAAAACAAATTAAAGTGATGCGTAGGTATTACAAAATATCTAGTAACAAATCTATGAAAGCAAATATCTTTATGATGATAACTGAAGTAAAATCAGGAACTTAATTATAAATATGTCAAGAAGGTCAGTCATGTGCAAGATTAAAGACAATACAATACAGTGAAAAAAGTGTTGCAATAGAGGTATGAACAGTTAGGATGATATAGAAAAGGAGCATCTAGTTTGGTCAGGTTCTCAGCAGGAGTCACCATTAGGAAAAATACCCAGAGGAGTGACTCTTATGCCCGGTCATCTCTTTTTGTCTCAGTGTTTTATTATGAAATTTTCAAACACACAAGAGTAAAGGGAAAAGTATAATGAACTTCCACATATCCATCATTCACTTTCAATAATTATTAAGTTATGGTCAGTCATATTTTGTCTATAACCCACTTATTCTGCTCTGCCCTCCATGTATACACTAGATTATGGAGCCTGGAATTTGCATGAAACTATAATTTCATCTGTAAATACTTCATATTCATCCCTAACAGAGAAGGACTTTTTTTAAATACACAAAACCATTATCAAACCTTAAAAAATTATGTCTAATATAATCTAATATCCAGTCAGTGCTTAAATTTCCCCATCATTTCAAAACTTTCTTTTTACAATTGGTTTGTTTAAACCAGGATCCAAAGAAGGTCCATCATTACCTTCAGTTGAAATGCCTCAAGTTTATTTTAATCAATCTAGTCTCCTCTCTTCCTCCTTGTCATTTACTTGATATAGACACTAGATCATTTATACTATGGAGTTACCCAAAGGCTAGGTTTCATTGATTATATCCTAGGTGCATGCTTTAAAATGTTCCTGTGTGTCCAATAAACTAGTAATTATATCTGGATGATTGATTAGATTCAGATTCAATTGTTTTTAGTAGAATTCCTCACAGGCAGTATTGAGGACCTCTCACTGTATCATATTAAGAGGCACATAAAGTCTGACTATCTCTCTTTTTTTTTAATGTTAAGATTGATCACTAGGTTCAGGTGATGTTAGCCACATCCATCCATTATAAAGTTCCCCATCTGCCTGTCGCCTAATGGTATTAGTGGCCCACTACTAAAAGACTAGAAGTTAGCCAGGCAGGAAGTTCGCTAGGATGAGGACATTTCAAGTACCATAAACATGTGTAAAAGAACAAAAAAGTTGAAAAAGCATAGCGTGTTCAGAGAATTACAGGTACTTTGGTGTGGCTGGAGTATAAAGTATGAGAAAAATGTAGGAGGAAAGTTGAGTCTTGTGAGGGCTGCAGGGGGCCAGATGACAATGGTCTTGAAAGCCATGCTATTTCTATCTGCAAGTCAATGGGGAAGGAACTAGAGGGTATTTATTAAGCAGGGAAATGACATGATTTCATTTGTGTCATAGAAAGTTTAGCTGAAGGTAAGAGGTTCAGTTGAGGGGTTACTTCAACAGTCCAGAATATAAATGAGGAAATCTGAAACAAGACATTTACAGGAGAATGTAGAGATTTCTGAGGTAAAAACTGGTGAATAATGAGCTACTGGGTAAGGGAAAAGTTTAGGATAATTCTTAAGTAATTTGATAGTTGATTGAATGACAAAGTTTGGAATAAGCATAGCAACTTTCTGGCAGATTTAAAGAGAACAAATATGCAATAAAATTTAACAAGTGGAAGCAGAATAAAAGTCTACAAAAATGTAAAAGTCAGGCAGAGAGGCTGAGTCAGTGAGTTACAGAGAAGCATTGAGGGGCCTTTAGCTTGGTAACATGATAAAAAGCACATATTAGAAAGAGAAGTTAACAGCAATATGCTCATTACAGTTGGGGGTTGGTGAGACTTAAAACTGAAAAACAAAAAAATGTAATTGAAAGTTGCTAGAAACTTGCTGGTGTAATTGAAGCATGAAGCAAAAAGGGCCTATGTGGGAAAGAAGAAAAAATGAAATTTGACAGACTAGAAATAGGGGATATAAAGAGAAAAAAAGGGTTATAAATGATTTAAAGTTTGAAATCTGGGAGGCCAAAAGAATAGTGACCACACTAATAGAAATGGAGTGGCTGGAGGGAAGGCAATTTAAAAGGGAGAAAGATGCTGTGTTTTAAATACATTAACCTTGAAGTAAAAACAAGATATTGAAATATGTCTTAGGTGTAGCTAGAAAAGGAGGATGAGGCTATGTATAATCCAAGGTAGAAGCCAAGTGTAGAGATAAAGATTTGAAAATTATCAGTATGATAGGTGATGCCACAAAAGCAGATGTTGAAACAGCATTGAGTAAGTGCTATAGATTATGTCTTGGGGAAATATGCAGAAATTTGGCAGGAAGAGAAAGATAAAGTAATAAAGGTGATAAAATGAAGTGTTTTTCAGACTTCTTGAGATGAGGACTAGTTCTATTAATCTGATCCCCATGCCTGCCAAAGAATAAACACTCCCTAAGTGTCTGTGAAGTGAGTGAATCATCATTAAAGAAGGGAACTAGGAAAGAACCATCTCAAACAAACTAAGATATGAAAGGGAGTTAACAGTAATAAAGTATCTCCTCTGCCCTGTGGAATACTTCCCACCAGAGGTTCCCAAACTTTCTCACGTCATGGCATCCTTGAGATCTTGGTGATTTTTTATGGCACTCCTAGGCCAAAAGAAATACCAATCTTCTGTTAAGTCCCAAACAACTTAATAAGCATTTATGTTCTAATAACTTAGTAGCCATTTGAAGAAATAATACACTTAAATTGAAAAATATTTAGATTTCATTCTTATTAACCACAATTACTCCTTTGTTTTTAAAAGATTTTATTTTTAAGTAATCTCTATAAGCATCATGGGGTTCAAACTCACAACCCTGAGATCGAGAGTCACACTGCTCTACTGACTGAGCCAGCTAAGCACCCCTAATCACAGTTACTCCTAATGCGATATATGCACTTACTAGGTACAGAACAAATTCTCCTATCTTGGAATCTGACTGACACTGCCACCCTCATTTCCTGTTCCACATTATTTTCATGTAGTGCTTGCTTTTTTTTTTTTTTTTTAATTTTTTTTTCAACGTTTATTTATTTTTGGGACAGAGAGAGACAGAGCATGAACAGGCGAGGGGCAGAGAGAGAGGGAGACACAGAATCGGAAACAGGCTCCAGGCTCTGAGCCATCAGCCCAGAGCCCGACGCGGGGCTCGAACTCACGGACCGCGAGATCGTGACCTGGCTGAAGTCGGATGCTTAACCGACTGCGCCACCCAGGCGCCCCTAGTGCTTGCTTTTTATCACAACGACTGGAAACTCAGGTCCACAATGACATGAAATCATCAAAAGGAATGCAGTGCAAGCTAATGGTGAAACTGTAATGACTCTGAGCTAGTAGTTCCTGTGGTATCCAAAAGATGTTGATTATTATGTATTTCACTTATAAAATTTATTTTTTTAATGTTTATTTTTTTTGAGAGACAGACACAGAGACAGAGAGAGAGAGAGAGAGACAGAGAGAGAGAAAGAGAGAAAGTGCTTGTGTATGCAAGTGGAGGAGGGGCAGAGAGAGAGGGAGAGAGAGAATCCCGAGCAGGCTCCTCGCTGTCAGCACAGAGCCTGACACAGGGCTCGATCCCACAAACTGTGAGCTCATGACCAGAGCTGAAATCAAGAGTCAGATGCTAAACAGACTCAACCACCCAGGCGCCACTCATTTATTTATAAAATTTAAAGTATTTTGTCATGCCCTTTCAAGTTCACCACAGACCTCCTGGGAGTCTGGGTGGATAGTTTGGGAACTGTGTCTTTTTTTTTTTTTTTTCAACATTTATTTATTTTTGGGACAGAGAGAGACAGAGCATGAACGGGGGAGGGGCAGAGAGAGAGGGAGACACAGAATCGGAAACAGGCTCCAGGCTCTGAGCCATCAGCCCAGAGCCCGACGCAACC